GTGTATTTAATATATTTTTTTGGATAAGCACCTACATTTTTGGCAGGACAAACCACAACACCATGTATGTTTGGAGGCAGTCAGCTGGTTGCTGAAAAGACTGATTTACATGATTAACTGCAAAATAAAAACAGTTTAAACACAGTGAGTGACTTTTATTGACAGCAATGCAATCTCTAATAAGAAAGAAATTTAACCACCAAACTCTTAAAGTCATTTTTACCCTAAATAACAGAAGTTTCCTGATAAGATCCAGTGAACCCAGTTCTCCATGAACCCCAGTTATCCTGTGATATAGCTTGACAAATGTAAAGCTCAACTTCACATATGCATCAACTACAATAAAACAGAACTTCGGAGTCAAAGTGTAAACGTGTGCATTGCAGATTTCAGACTGGCTTGAAAACAAGCTCTCTTCTCTAGGGTAGGTGTGGAGGGAAAAAAAAAAAAGAAAATCAGTAAAAAGTTACACACCAGCAATTTCTGAAGAAGTGTAGGAAGTGTCCTTTAACTACAAAGTTACTTGAAAACCCTGGGTCACTCTCAGTAAGTGTCAGTATTCACTTCAGCACTGCAGACTGATTTTCAGAAGGAAGGAAACATTTTCACCAGCCAATCTGCCTTCCAAAGCAGCAGCATGAGGAGTGAATGGTTTGACCTGAGATGGAGTTCTAACACCCGTTATTATTTACTTGTGACCTTAAACAAGCTACTTATTTTCCATACTTTAATTTCCTCAGCCATAAAAAGAGAATGACAAATGAACTCCTTCGCATAAGGGAATTGCTGCAGAACTGCAACTCAGGTATTACCCAATTTGGAGAAAACTTTCTCTAATTAGCACACACAGTACCATACAATAGTATTTGCTAATATCCTGCTTTCGACCTCATATATAAATGGCATTCAGAACCTCATTTCTTTCCTTCCTTTCTGGATGTATTAAAGTCTCCCAGGCTACTTGGTTCAATATGCAAAAATATGTAGCTTGTGCTTTGCTGCCTCACAAACTGCTACAAATTCCCCTTTTCCACTCTTTCAGTATCTCTTCTTAAGAAATACTTGAAAGAAAAACTAAATTTCACCTCCTGCTTTCAGCAAACTCTTCTCAACACTAAACCTTTTTCCCGAGTTTCAATCATCTCTTCTTCCACAATGGGGAACAGTCATTTGCAAATTAGCATCCATGGCCAAAATCTGTATTTTAATTAACAGGACATTATTTAGTATGGCCAGGCATGTGCATTCATGAATTCATGAACTTTCTATATACTGCTTTAAATATGCACCTGCTAATTTTAAAATGTTTCCTGACAACAATTTAATGCATCTTGAAGGACCATTCCCAAATAAGGTATTATACCAGCAGTACTAAAATACAGGTGTTCTGTACTAGAACTCTAAAGATGTGTGGGAAACAGCCATTTTTCTGTGCAGATGAACAGTGGAAGTAAAAAGTGAACACTTTTCACATGGCAGTGAACAGTGCCCAACATTTTGTAAAACTGGTGTCTTAGTCTATGTTACAGAAATACAACATGATAATGAACTAAGGTTTGTGAATTTTGATGCAGAAATTTATTACCTGCCAGAAGAGTGGTGCTTTGCAAACCCAAATATTTTAGGATTATATTACCATCTGCACTAGTGAAAATTTGTATGTTGGTAATATACTGGTTGCTAGTGAAAATACATTTTCCAGATACCTTACTGAGCTCACTGAGAATGAATTATTTTGGTATAATAAAAAGGATGCAAGCTTTAGCACACCCACTAAATGCAAACACTCTTGTTAAGATCAACAACAGATTACCTGTGCTACTCATCAAGCTCCAGTTATTCCAGCTTTTCCAAAGCTACAATTGGAGATACACGCACTGACTTTCGGTCTCAAGATGTGAAAGGTTCATTTACTACACCCCACTGATAACAGAACATACTGTTCCTAAGGCAAGGCATTCATGTCACACAGGAATTCCCCAGTCTCCAGCAATCAGATGTCAATGATGTTGACTTCAGTAAGCCAAGCAGAGAACTATCCAGATGGTGCAGTTGCCAACATTACAGTGTTCGCCCATAGACTGCTATTATCTCATTAAAAAGTGAAATTGCATTTATATTACTTATTCTCCATGTATTATTTAGTCCTTGTAAATGGAAACCAGCAGTTTCACCTGTTAAACTTCTGATAATGGTATGAGACTGGAAAACAGTAAGATTAAAATAAGTTTTAAACATGGTTTAAAAAAAGTAGACAAAGCATAAAGTAGATAAAGCATAAAATCATATTTTATCAATGTATAAAGAGAATTGAGAGGAAAATGCTTGTGTTGAGTATTTCTCTAAATGAAAAAATAAAGTATCATACTTGGATTATTAATGTCCTCAAGCCTTAGAAATCAAATTTTATTAGTTTTGTGGTTTTTTCAAAAACCACTATCCATTTCCACGCATCTCCAATTGCCAATGAAGACAGAGAAGTGTTCACTTCCTTACATTTGTTCCCAGGTTCATTACTTTTCAGTTCTCATTGATTACCACAACACTGAACAGTTTCAGTTGTACGCACAGTGCAAACACTGGTCTCCTTCAATAGACGCTAAAGAGAGGGTTGAAATTTGCATTATGTTTTGGTAAAACCGTACTGGTTCAAAACAGAAGTTCAGTTGGGAGTTTATGCAGTCCCACTGAGCACCCACTGCAAAGACTGTTTCTATATGACAGTATCAGTACATTAAAAAAAAAAAAAAAGAGATGAGACCAGAAGTACAATATTGCCAACTTTGATTCTAGCTTGTAATACAGGAATAATTCAAAAATAATAGTTTTGACTATCCTGTGAGAAACAACTAATGAACTGAAAAAATGCAGATTATTTCCTAGTAGGAACAATTTTATTTTTTTCCATTTTCCTGTGCACATCAGAATTTTATTGTATCTAAAATGCAGCTGAACAAAACAAGGCAGTGACTTTAAGCCAATACTGATGTGGCAGAAAACAATCTTAAATATCAATCTTGACTACTGTTCTGACAACAGCTTATTCATGCGTGGGGAAGGGGGCAGAAGGGTACAAGAAACCTGAAAGTCTGCAGAGACAGGAACTACCATCAGAGACACCCACCAAGGAACTACAGAGAGGGCTTCAGGAGAGGGGACTCGTCTGAGCCATGAGAATGGTGAGTTGCAGTTTGCTGTGCTGACATAGCATGCAACTCTTTAGTCTTCTCTTTATTCTTCTCTTTATTGTTTAGAAAAATAAAAAAACCAAGCAACTACCACTTAAAAAAATTTGAAAGTTTTAACAATGATTTTTTTTCCAGAATAAAAATATTTTTCTTAAGAAATGACAAGCTGAATAGTTGGTTAGTGGGTTCCCACTGGGAAGATGCTGACATAAGATGGACTACAGAAAGTGGAACAGGTTGCCCAAGGAAGTTGTGGATGCCCCCTCCCTGGCAGTGTTCAAGGCCAGGTTGGATGGGGCTTTGAGCAACCTGGGCTGGTGGGAGGTGTCCCTGCCCATGGCAGGGGTTGGACTGGATGAGCTTTGAGGTCCCTTCCAACCCAAACTGTTCTGTGATTCCATAAATGAAGTTTATACACTTGATAACAGAAGGGAAGTTAGTATCCCTATTATTTTCAAGTAGTTGGCTTTTTAAGAAAGTCATCAAAGAAAAGATTAAATCTTTCATGATACACAGAGACTTTAAAATGTTTAACAATGCTATATGTTAAGAACAAGAAAAGTAAATAAACAATTAAACCAGTTACGAATTCAAAAGAGTGAAAAGCTTCTGAAAACCTGTCACAAACCCAAGGGCTGCTGTAATTAGTGCAGGACAAGTCTAACGAGGTATCTGTAGAGAAACAAGAATATTGGTGGAATTTGGTCCAGCTGACACCTCCTAACTCCCAAATTGCACTCAGCAGTGCACAGCACCACATGCACAGAAATGGATACAGACACTTACCTAACAAGCCTTTAAGTTAATACTTGGATCTGTCCTTGTCTATCATGGATCTTTGCTGGAGAAGAAGAAAATAAATTCCCCTGGAAGGGGTCCCTCATTGCCCTCCTCATATTTATTACATTTTTTACCTCGTATTTATTACATTTTTTACCTGCACAGAAGCTGTAAGGTCTGTTTTCATCCTTGAACAGGTGAAGGAATATTTGGCATTTGGGGCTTATTCTGCTAGTCACCACATTCACCAGAAGTAATTCCATCTTTAGATAAATATGGATGTGACAAGGTCCTATTGCTGTGCAGAGCAGTGAGGATCTGGGGTAGACATGAGGCTTTCACGCTGAAAGAAGCCTCTGAAGAGAAAATGTAGGTGTATGGGCCAGCAGACTCCCTTGGCTATCAGCACAGTAAGTGGGCATCCCTCTAAGAAAATGAGAAACCCTTTGAGAACCACCAGTGTTTCTTAACTTCCAGACCACCAGGAAGGGTGTGAACTTCTGGAATAACACACAGCTAGAATACATTTTAAAATTCATTTTCTAAATCAATTTTCATTCTGAAACTCTTCTGCAGCATCATTTCTCAGCACACAAGCTCTCCTAACCCGATTTGCACAATTCCTTGGCTAACCAAAGAAGTCTGAAAGTTCCTCACACAGCCAATCCATTCCTGAGATGAGGCTTTCGAGCTGAAGACTGCGCAACCGTGTTTCCAAGAAGCATTTCAAAATATCATGTAATATTATAGTTTTCCCAGAGGTAACTCTAATTCAGTAGGCAAGCACATGGACAACATCCAGCCAAAGATACACTACACAAAAGCATACTTCAACACAGACATTTTCATCTTTGCTTCATCATCGTGTTTTATCACTTATTGGAAATGATCAGTAAATCACTCACTAAGGTAATCAACCACTAATTAAAATGCAGTAAGTAAATGCATAGCTAACACAACACCGGATCTGTTCATAACCGTGAAAAATACTTGTGTTTTCTAAACCACTTGAATTACACCTCTAAATATTACCTTTTCGTGAATTTCTTGTGTAGACTGAGCATCACAAAATGCCACTGTGGCTACATCCTTCAGAATAGGCATTTCTACTGTACAGTCCCTGCCATCCAGCAACGCTACCAAGGGGCGCGGGTGCATGGGCCCATTCATGATCGGAGGTCGAATGCCTGCGAAGAAACAGAGGAGATTTGTTATTCCAGCCGCGCAAACGTAGTTTAAAAAAACAGGTTATAGCTAAGTCTGTTTATTCTGATGGCAGAAAAGGATCCCAAGGCCTGACGCTAGCCAAACAGGACCAAGTTTACGGTCAGCAATCAACCAAACACACAAGACCCAAGAAAAAATGCCACAGAGGCTCAGGGGGCTTAAGAGTGGAAGATGGATAAAACCACTAAGGGAATAATATATTTGTTTTTTTTAAAGAGACATCCTTACTGCACTATTAAGAAGTGTCTGTGCAATCGTATCTGGGGTTTATATTTTGATTGGATTTCACACCTTTGCGAGCTCTACACAAAGTGAGAAATATCTTGTCCAGGCTCGTAATAGCACAGCTTATGGAATATCATAAGCAACTCAGTGAGGATTTGACTATTCAATTCACATCTGCCGAGACTAAAATTTAACTGCAAAAAGCCTACTACAGCAAAATTTTGAATTTAGGAAAGAGGCAGTGTCCACGTGTACAGGCTAATTGCTGAGCTGTGCAGGTCTGGGTAGACTTAAGTTTTACAAAGCAATTCTGTATAGCTCAGACAAGCAAGCACGTCAATACTTAATCCACCACTGAAAACACTAACAAAATATGAACCAAATGTTCCTCCCTAAATCAACATCGCACTTGGATCATCACAGAGTGACAAAGAAATACACATTAAATATCTGGGGGAAAGAAAATCAGTTGAAAGTGCAGACTTCATTTATATCCTCTTTATGGAGTCTTAAAATGAAAAGTAATCCTTATAACAAGATATTTGGAGAGCATCTTTTTAACAGTATAGATGCTATAAATACACAAAAGTACTCAAGGGAATAATATTAAACCATTACATTTACACAAAAGTAGTTAAGCGTGGGTGGAAAAAAAGGACTTCCTGAAGAGATAAGGAGAAGCAAAACCAAGAATAAAATACACAATTTTTTTCCTCTTTTAGAATAAGTATATACTGCAAAGTAGGCTAGATAATACTTGCATGCAAATTTCAACATATTTTTGTTTCAGTGTGAATTTAAAAACATCGTTTTTTGCTTGCTAATACAAGCTGGTCCAACATTGATGCAACAGACTGAGATTCCCCAGCTACCTTCTACAAGAAATCTGACGTCCCAACCTGTGTCAGAAACAAGCCCTGAAAGACTGCATTTGAAGTGGATGGAAAATCAGTCAAATCCCAGCTGTGGAAGATACCTCGTGAAGAAAAGCAGCTGCTGGGAAAAGAGATTTTCACAAGTCGACCGAGGCAGCTCATTACTTCCCCAGTGGGACCAAGCTGAGTCCAGGGCTGAAGGAGTAAAGCCAAGGAGACTTACCCCTGCATCCTCAAATTTAATGTCTACCCCTAACCACGTCAGGGTGACACCACAACCTGGCATTTAAGTTTTAACAATTCAAACAGGTTTTATACTTGAAGACGACTGAACAAGGGTCACTGGAGCTTCTCCTACAAGCCCAGTTCCAGCTAGCGCCCTACCTGGACAACTTCTAGAAATCACAGCTGGCTTCAATTTAAATGTAACTGCACAACACTTGAAATTGCTTATTCAGCAGCAAACGGAGCTTTCTGATTCAAGGCAGGAGGACAGCAGATCCTCACCAATCCTTCTGCATCTGGTCACTAAAGTACCTTTGATTTTTCTGTTCTGGTCCCAGCATCTCCCAACAACTGATTATGCCAATGGACTGCAACTGCAGTCCTGTCACCCTAAAAGACACGGATTCCAATGTGAAAACTATCCACAGGAAAGCACACCACCGTTAAAACTACTCTCTGTTGTAAATCCACCAATTCCTAACCTCTACAGCAACTGACATACTTAGAAATCATGCACAGATTCTTTGAGTAAACCTGTGTTTAATATCCAGCCACCAAAATTAATTGGAAGCCTTTTTAATATCATTGTTAAAATTCGTGCACGTTCCTAACTTATTATTGTTACCTGTTTGAACCAGAAACGGCCGCACAACCTTCATAAGAGTCATTTCTGGTAAATAAACCACACACTAATAATTACTGTCCTTTAATGGGAACTTAATTATAAAACCCCAGATGAAATTTACTTAGAAACACCCTATAATAAGGCATGTTATAGACTTGTTCATGTTTCTTTCAAAATACATAACAGCATTAATAAAATGCAATTATGTTTAGAAACAAATGTAAAAATGACATTGTAAGTCCTATTCATACTGAGTATGACAACTGTGCTCATTTTACAACCGAAATGTTATGGTTGTCGTCTTAATTGTCAGTCCAGCAAAGCCAGGATTTCAATGACAAGTTTGAACCCTAGCTAAAATAAAATTTAAAAAAGAAAACAGAACTTTGATACTAAGTTTGTTGAAGATGAATAAGGAAATATATGGCACAGATTATTCTCTCAGAGCTACAACTAAAGCACCTCTGTCAACAGAAGAGCACAAATAGTCCAAACAGGTAACAGAAGAGACTAGAGCTATCTCAGAAAACCATGACATACAGCATCACTAAACACAACCCTTTAAAGCAATGATTTCTCTAAAACACAAAGGTGTGGCTGGTTCTCCCCTCACGCCAGCGTATCTATCGATTTCAACCAAGGTGCACGCCAGACCGAGCCCCAGAGCACAGAAACTAAAGTCCAAAAATGAGCCAGAAGGATAAACCCTCCCCAAGAGAGCTCTGCTGAGAGTCCCCAGAACTCAAATGCACCCAGTAACCTTGACCATGAAAACCCTACGAACCTTTGCTTGCCAAAGTCCTTTCCTTTCTGAACTTCAGCACAGCCTTCCTGTTGCACAATCTTCCTGCCCAAATACTGCATCACTGGATCCCAGACAATAACTCAACACTTCAGTAAACTCACAGCAACTTAATCACAGTGGCAGTCACTACTTACAGTTTACATTTGGAAAGGCACAGTTTCACTATGAATCAGAGCCCTTTGAACAAAAAACTACTTCTTCCACTGAGATGCATTCTGCTGTCTCTTATCTAGCAATGTCGTACTGCACCACACGCTTGGCTTTGCAAGAGACCCTTGGAGTGGCAGTATAAAGCAAAGTGTATTTAGGAGCAGTGTTTTTCATGCCTGCATTAACAGTAAATCATGCAAATCAGTGCCAGAGAGAAGTAACTATCAACTGGTCCAAAGTTACATTCAACACCATGAATGTGAAACTGATTTATAAAAAAAACCAATTTCAACTTAGGTGGCTTGTTGAAGTATATGGTATAGCATTTCACATAACACATAACAAAAATGATACCATCCACCCCCACATCCTAGAACTTCAGTTATGGGGAAAACAATCTCAGTTTATCCTAACTTGAGACTTTCAGGAACCCCTACCAACCTGACATTTCTTAATCTGAGCTTGATTTCCAGGGTCATGGAATTCGATTTCTCAATGCTTTACAATCTTCAGCATTCTGAGGCAAAATAGCAGCCTGTCATTCCATCCTCATTTCCATGTCTTTTACTTTTCTTGCAGCCTCCTGTAATCTTGAACCAAAGCTTTTAAACTTCTTATCCACTGCAACCTCTGTAGCCTGGATGGCGTTCAAATTTTTACTAAAAATTAAACACAAACAATACATTAAAACAACATTAAGGGTCTGACTTGTGCTCACAGAAGCCAGGCAACTCCAAGTTAAAGCTTCTCACTGCATCTCAACCCTTCCCCCTTTCTCTCCTGGCTTTCGACCACACCTGCTGTGCTGCCACGGACCATTACCACACCAGTAAAACCAGTGGCCTGTTCAGACTCACTGGGCAGCAGGTGTATTGAACACAGATATACCTGGAACAGTCGGCACCACTCCTGTGGCAAAGGATTTGCCCAGGGATGTGAGGACAGTGTGGGATCTCCAGTACCACCAGTGCTGGAGAGCCAGGCGCTCCAGTTTGTACCAGGGATGTAGTGAGAAGCCTTAACTCTGAATTTGCTGGTTTTGTTGGGTGCAAGTCAGGCCCTTAAGGTTATCTAAATGTATTTAAGAGAAAAAAACTCAACAGTTTTCCATAACAGCTCTAATCCAGCTATTAGTTTGGGGTATTTTTTCCTCCAGTTGCTTGAGTAACAGCTATCGTGGCAGTGACTGCTGGAATTTATCTAAAATAATACCAGGTATGAATGTGCACACAGAGAGAGCAGTCAGCCGTATGGCAAATTGCTGCTACACACGGACAGCAGAGGAGTGCCTTTGCAGAACTGCAATTTGGACTAACTGCTCTAAAAAATGCATCAAAAGCTTATTCTAGTCCAGCTTTTACAGAAAAACTCTTGGGAATTTAAAAATTTTCAGCTGCAGAATTTGACAGAAGACCAGCCCCATGCACAAGCATTTCAACTGGCTGTGGGGCTCGCAAACAAGAGAAATAATGAATTTATCATCCAACTTGGTAACCAAACCGCGAGAGGAAGGGCCGTGGATTATCACCTCCATACCTCTGGCAGCACAAGGACTTAAAAATTATCACAACGACCTGGGCAGGAGATTTAGTTTTTAAAAAACTGGAAAGAAAAAAGCCTACCTAAGCAGGCTCTTTTCCTTCCCCATCCCAAATTCTAGCTGCACCTCTATGTGCCACACTCCAAGAGGGAGAGGTGAAGTCACCACCACTCCACACACTCACTATTGGAGGATAAGAACACTTTCCCTGACACACTCCAGGCTGTTACAAAGTATTTTAAACCTTTCCTAAAACAACTTTTAATGCTACAAAGTGACAGTAACTAAAGTGATTACACTGCACAAATAGTAGAGATCTCAAAGTGGGCTGTCACTGTTTCGTGACATCAGAAAACACACCAAAATGCAACAAGGTGATTTAACAATGATTAATAATGTCATTTTCACATTTTTCTGCTGCTGATTAATACAACATCATTAGGATCACGAATGTCTCAAATCAGGTATACAAGTCAAAAGTAAAGGACATTGTCAGGTTTGTAGGCCCAAAATTTGACCTACCTTTCATTTTCTTAAATCTGTTTGCAAAGTCCATGTAATTCTTTAAATGTGTTTTTCTTTTTTCAAAACAAACGCTTCAATTCTGTTTTCTGAAAAATACATCAATGCCAAAAAGCACAACACTTATCAGTAACCCTATAATGACAAACCAAGACGCACACGAAACGCAGCACAGCAGCCTGGCAAAAGAGAGTTTTCATTTTCCCATTTCGGGGAGTTCTTACAAGTGCGAAGATGAAATAAGCAGGAAAACTCCCTTGACAATGTCCTTTTATAAGAATTTGTCCTACAAACCTTCCCTTATGCACTGTGAAACATCAAACTGATATAAAAGTTTTCACAAAATGTGAAGTACTGCAAAATCTAATCAGTATTTACAAAAATGACAGCTTGGACATTCAACTGATTTCCAGTCTTGCACGGGTAACGTGAGCCTGATCCCCATTTACTTTTACTTTATATTCTCACCCAGGCTGCGCATTCAGTCAGAGCTGTCACTTATTTACCATAAGACCTCAAAGAAATTTACATCTTTAAAAAAATAAATGCTGATATTAATTCAAGTAAAGAACGACTTGTCAAAACAAACAAAAAATACCCCACTCGTAAGATGAACACAGAGGCTGTTATGAATGAGATTTGTCAATACGCTCTATTAAAATCCCCAGAAATGCCATACTTTAAATACATGGCTCCTGACACAGCACGCATTTTCAAATTTTGGACTTCGTTTTGGTACTCTCATTGTTTTGTGCACCGCGGCCTCAAGCAACATTTAAATTCAAGGTAGTGCAAAGCCCTATAAAAGCAGTCAAGTAGAAATAAACTTTAAAGTACAATGCAGGTACATGGATCAGGAAAATGGATGCAAGAAAAAAAAAAAATACTACCAGCCTTCAGTATTGTGCTATTCAGCATATTGAGACTGAATACACAACACAAAAATCTCCTGATCCCACCCGAATCAGAGCCAACACCTTTTCTCACCGCCTTCAGTATGAGGGGGATGCAATCTCCCATGATTTGGGATGTGGGACTGGGGGATGCAGAGGGGAGAATATTTGAAAATGAAGAACACCAACAAAGAGTACGCACAAAGA